TATATATATATATATATATATATATATATATATATATATATATATATATAATATATATATATCCTGATAACATGCTCTTTTATTGACCAGGTAACCCTAGAGAATATATGATCTTGCTGTTAAATTTTCTGATTTCAAAATAGAGACAAATAAAATGGAAGGCATGAAGTGTTTATAGAGTAAATAGGATCTAGTCCACTACAATCCATTTACCTAAGGTCTAGTTTGCCTATTCTTTCTCTATCTGTTCCTCTGTCTCTCTTTCTCTCTGTTTGTGTGTGTATGCATGTGTGTGTCTTTGTCTGTGTGTATGTATGGCTGGGTATGTGTGCTCATATGTGTGCAAATTCATGAGTGTGCATCTGTATGGAAGCTAGAGGTCTGCATCGGTATCTTCCTTAATCACTCTCCCCTTTTTTTGTTTCTGCTGCTCTGTTTGGAGGACAGGTAATCTTACCAGTTTATCCCAATGGGCTAGACTGACTGGACAAAGAGCCCCAGGGTCTCATGTGTCTCTGCCTCTTCATCATGTAAATTACAGGCTTTCCCTGCTGTGATCAGCTTTGAAGTGGGTGCTGGGTATCAAACTCTGATCCTTAGATCCTTTACAAAGTGAGACATCTCTACAGAGCTTGATTTTCTTTGTGAAATCCCTAGGTTGATATCCCAAGAGTTCAGGGATTCTGGGGAAGCATTTGCTTGGTGCTGTTCACTGAGATTTTACTTAATGGACATTTTTATAACTCTTAAACTTACTTAAACTGAACCGTGCCTTCCTTAGGATTCTGAAACAATACTTGCCTAAATGCAGTACAATGTATATTCATTTGTCTCCAATAGCACCCCCAAATGGATTCATATACACTTTCTTTCTTAGATTTCTGGTTCTTTTTAGTAAGACAAAATCATAAGGAAATGGGGCACTGTGGATTTTGGTTGCTGTAAATAGCTGACCTTGCAAGGAAATCTGTTGCTATCATTTTGTAGATGCTTATTTTATACTTCCCTAATTGTTTTTTTAATAATTTTTTTGCTTAAAAATATGGAACACTTCATGAATTTGAGTATCATCCTTGAGCTGGGGCCATGCTAATCATCTCTGTATCGTTCCAATTTTAGTATATGTACTGCCAAAGCAAGCATACTTCCCTAATTGTTGAAGAACTGTGTGACCTGTGGTGTTTAGGATAAACTTATTGGATGTTACTTTAGTGAGGTGTTGGGTTGTGCTGATAGACCACAAAATCTAGGGTCTCAAGTGGATGCCCCAAGAACCCAGACTCTGGTCCAGTTGATGCAACAGCACGAGGTTTATTGAAATGACTGTACAGACGGGCTAACTCAGCTCCAAAGAGCAAGAGTAGCATCCTACTGCAGCCACATAGGTGTTTTTAAAGAAAAAACCCACAAAAACCATAAGATTACAATTCCCATACAATTTCATTTCAATTGATTTATGTTTAGAAGATAATTTCACAAGATCATGGTCTGATCACAGAGTGGGTACAGTCACGTCCACATGCACATTCTCCCCGAAACCTCAAGGGAGGTATCAGGGCAGGAGTGGAGTTTACACAAAGGTCACAGTGGTCCTTCCTGGAACACTTGCAACTATCCCAGTCACATTTGAGCACATCTCTTAATAGAAATCTCTTTATATTGTTACATTGTGGCAGGGGGGTAGTTGAGTAATGGCTGAGTCAGGTTGCCCTTGGAACTAGTATTTTGGTTCCTCATTCTCCTGGAGTTTGGGGGGTGTAAGCCTGAAGGGTTAGGGTCTTTCAGTGCTTAATGTTTCCTGTAGATAAAGCCCTCAGAAACTGAAACTCCCTCTAGTATACCCTTGTTTTCTCTTCTCTTTTGGTTTTGATTTTCTCTATATACTTCCTTTTAAATAATACCTTAAATATACATACAAGTAATATTATATGGGCTTGGTAGGTTACATTTAGAGATTCACATGTATATACAACACATATACATGCAATAAAAATTAATAAAAAATAGATCATGCATTTGAAGGAGGGGATTGGTATGTGGGAGGGCTTGCCAAGAGAAAAGGGGAAGGAAAAAGTACTGTCATTAAACTACAATCTCAAAAATAGACAACAAAAATGATGCAGCAGCTCTTTGTCCTACAATCTTCTGGTCTTCTCCTGCAGCTTTGGTAAGTTATGGGGTAGGAGAGCATTCTATAATTTATGATTATGTTCTTTGCGTGGCCCTTTGTCTCTGGTCAGTAGCTCCACATGCCTTCCATAGCTTTGATATTTTCCCTCTGTTAAGACTGGCTAGAGTCAAGTAATGGCCCAGTTGTCCCCATGGGTAATATAAGGAAGGCTCTGTTGAAGTTTCCCCAATGAAGGGTGGGTCTTGGTTTTGGAGAACATCTGGCGCATATGATAAATTGTTAATCCTATACCAGCATTGTCAGATATTGTCCATGCCTCTGCAGTCTGAAAACTTCAACAGAATTATTTATTTATTTATTTATTTATTTATTTATTTATTTATTTATTTATTTATTTATTTATTTATTTAATGTATGGCTATTTTGCCTGCATGTATGTCTATGAACCACTTGCAATCCTGATCCTGCAGAGGCCAGAGAAGGATGTTGGATCCACTGAAACTGGTGTTTCAGAGGGTTGTATGCTGCCATACAGGTGCTGAAAATTGAACCTGGCTCTGCTGAAAGAGTATCCCATGGTCTTAACCACTGAGCCATCTCTCCTGAGAACCCCTGATACACACAGTCATAGGTTTGTTTTGTTTGTTTTGTAAAATCAGGAATGTTTGGGGGCTCCAAAGTATTTTAGGAATATCTCATTTTGCTTATCAGCCTTCTGGTGCTTGTGAAACATTAATGTGTACGGGTGCTTGTTATAAAACAAATGTTGGGTCCACCGGCCTCAATGCTAGGTTTCACCAGTGACCCAAAATGAGCCACTCTGTTGTATTGGTGATGTTTGTTACTTATGTGACAAAATAACTGACCATAAGCAAGGAAGGTTTCATTTTGGGCTATGATTTCAGAAGAGATGAAGTCCACCGTGGGGAGGAAAGTGTGGCAATGGAAGCATGAAACATGTGATCACATTGAGGCCTTAGGATCTAAGAAAGAAAGCTGCTAGTGGCTAGCAAGCCTCCTCCTTTTCAGTCAGCCCAGAAGCCCCACCCAGCTCATCAAAGGCTGGCTGTCCGTAGTCAGGATGGCTCTTCCTCCCTCAGTGAAATCTCTCTGGAAACACTCTCACAGACATTTTCAGAGGCATTTTGTAAGTTGACATAGAAGATTAACCATCGCACCACCCTAATCATCTGCCAACTAAACATAGAAGTGATATAGTAGCTTAAATCAGAGAGGAGATGCACTCAATGGGCCTCAGTAGGGGAACACAAAAGGTCCAGTGGTTCCAAATTGGTCTTTGGAGAACTAGCATTAGCTTTAGACTTAAACCTAAGAAAACTATGATTAAGGAGGGAAAACCAGGTATGAAGGAGTCCTGGTCAAGGTGTGGACTAGGTGATTGTCACCTCAGCTCTCATTCAGGAAACTGGCTCTTAAGAGGTCAATGATTCCCGTGGAGAGCCCTCCAGTTTCCCTAAGATGATTATTATTAGTCCAAAAGAGTGCTTTGCCTTTGATATTAGCCTTTGTAGAGGTTTGCCTGAACTTGAGGGGTGATCTGTCTTGTGACACAATTCATTGGAAACTGTTTTTGTCCTTTGTCATAAATGTAGTTATGGACTGGTATTGCTCCTGGAATTCAATGTGAATTCAGATTTAGGTTCCTCCTGTGGTATGAAATAAGAATGGTTTAAAGGTTGACAGTAAAATGTCTAAAAGAGACAAAAACAAAATGTGGGTTTTGGGGCTCAGGTGAGGAGTCCATGGTTTCTTTTTCAAAAGCAGTTTCTATGTGTCAGTTATACTCCTACAAGTTTGAGCCTCCAGTGGATTCTGCCTGAGGTAAACAGATCTCTGCTCCTGTTCGCTGTATTTGCCTACATTTTGCATTGTTTTGATAATTCTATACAGTTATAATATTCCCTTGGAAATATATGCTCATTCCACCATTCTCAAAATCACTATGTAAGTCAGAACTCATTTGTTTGATTTCAGAATACACAAATATTAGCTAAAAATATTACATATTTATGTCAAAACATAAAATGCTTTATTTTATTATTTTTTTTTAGTGTGTGTGTGTGTGTGTGTGTGTGTGTGTGTGTGTGTGTGTGTGTGTGTGTGTGTGTAGTGTCTGTGGAGGCCAAAAGAGAACATTGGATCCCATGATCTGGAATTGTACATGGTTTTGTGTCACTGAAATGAATGCTGAGGATCAAACTTGGATCCTAAGGAAAAGCAGTGTATGCTGATTGCTGAGCCATCTCTCCAGACCCTGTATGTCATATCTTATCTCTTATGATTGATGACCAGTTGCAATTTTAGACATACAAGTAACTCTTAGAGAATATAAAATATTAGATCTTCTGTTAAGCTCTGGATGCTATGGGCCCTAAAGCATTCAACTCAGCTTTTCCAATCCACTTCCTTAATCGATTACAAACTTTTACTGAATACTAGTCAAATCTTCTGCAGCTTTCACTGTATATACATGTTTAAATGTGGAAGAGATAAAGGGACTAGATACATTCCATGTATCCCAAGACTGATCATAGGTGACCATCCAAAAGGTCTGAAGTATGCTTAAGTGTGTGACTTATTTCCCACGCAATGCTTCTGATAAAGAATGCAGGCATCCCTCAGTGGTACATATGCTGACCCAAGATAAAGAAATGATATATTCTTTTTTTTTTTTTTTTTTTTTTTTGGTTTTTCGAGACAGGGTTTCTCTGTGTAGCTTTGCGCCTTTCCTGGAGCTCACTTGGTAGCCCAGGCTGGCCTCGAACTCATAGAGATCCGCCTGGCTCTGCCTCCCGAGTGCTGGGATTAAAGGCGTGCGCCACCAACGCCCGGCCTAGAAATGATATATTCTAACACAGTCAAAAATGCGCACCCTTATCCTCTGAGCCATCTCCTTGTCCCACCACACTTTCTTGATCAGGCATGGCAGAGTGGCTGGAATTAAATGAAACAATAAAGCCCCAGCTCCTTAGACATTCCTCATTTCTTCCATGATGTCAATGAGCTTTGGTCTGAGTTTAGTCTTTTCTCCCTGATTTCCTGGTAAGGAGTTTATATGCACCATATTATATGATATCTAATAGATAATATAATATAATGCATTATAGAATATATATATATATACACAAAATGTGTGGATAGTAGATCTTTTTGGACATAGAAGAAATGGATTTTTTTAAAGTGAACAGTTAAATTAACCAGAGGATGAGGAAATAATGAAGGGAAGTGGTTAGAATTGGGAAGTACAACTATATATAACGGTGTTGCAGGGACTAGAAATGTAGCTGACCCCAGTCTAACGAGTCCTCATAAAAATAGAAAGTTGGAAAGTCGGTGTCATAATTTGTGGCTTCTTAAGTGTGACTTTTAAGATCTTGTAGTATTAGTGGGTTATCTACATTTAACACTACAGAAAGTTTTTTTTTTTCTGAGACAGGGTCTCACTAGATGACTAGTGGACCTCAAAATCCACATCCCCCTTTTTCAGTCTCTTGAATGCTAGGGTCACAGGGCTGCATCTCCATTCCTGGGTAGGATGTGATTCCTATACTCCAGATACCATAGGCCCCATGCCCTATAATCAGATGTACTAACAAACAATAGTAAAGAAAAATGAGTGAGATCTTGAGTCAGTTTGCAGCTCTTCTTTCTTTAAAATGTTATGAGAAACTTCCAACATGTGGTTATGAACTAGCATAATAGCCTCGGTGCTAGTCCAATGTGGATGGATTTATGATTATATATTTTTATTTGAAGTTTCATGGCTAGAAATTATATGTCCCCTTTAAATAATTATTTTCTTATTTTCCTTTTAATTAAAAGAGATGTGGGGGCTGGAGAGATGGCTCAGTGGTTAAGAGCACTGGCTGCTCTTCCAGAAGTCCTGAGTTCAATTCCCAGCAACCACATGGTGGCTCACAACCATCTGTAATGAGATCTGGCACATAATAAATAAATAAATTTTAAAAAAAAGAGAGAGATGTGATGCTAGGGATTGAACCAGGACCCCTTGGCTAATATTACACAAGTGCTCTACCACTGAGCTATACCCCTGACCATTCTCAGGCTTTTATTAATTACCTTAGGAATGGGTTTGCCATACTGTTATTATAAATAGTATTAGTATTACATTATCACTTGTGTTTCCCAAATGCTTTGCTCTTATGATCTTTCTAACATACATTGTCATTGGATAGTGGGTACCTTTTGGACTTACTGATTTGATCCATCATTCTTAAGAAGCATGATTCCTACAATTCTTCCTTCTCCTTTTCCAAGCTCCAAAGGGAGGGACTCAATGGACATCTCTTATTTGGGTTCTCTCTCTGCCTAGTGGTTTTACTGTGGGTTTCTGCATCTGCTCCAGTCCAGTCAGCTTCCAGAAGAAGCCACTAAGGATGATGATGCACTGAAGGAACTAAGCAGGGCTCATAGGGCCTCACAGAGATTGACGTGGCAATCAGGGAGCCTGCATGGATCTGGGCTACATCCTTAGCATCTATATTATAGTTGTTGACTCAGTGTTTTGGGGGACTCGTCATAGTGGGAGTAGGGTATCTCTGACTCTTTCACCTGCTCTTGGGACCCTTTTCCTTCTACTGGGTTGTCTTGCCCAGCCTTGATATGAGGTTTTGTGCCTAGTCTTACTGTAACTTGTTAGGTTGTGTCCAGTTGACATCCCTAGGAGGCCTGCTCTTTTCTGAAGGGGAAGGGAGGAGCTGTAGATCTGGGGGAGACAAGCACCTGTAGGGAGCTGGGAGGAGTGGAGGGATGTAATGTATGAAGAGAAGAATCAATTTTTTTTTAAAGAAGAAGCATGATTCCTTCTGTTTGGAGCACCAAGTATTGCTTGTGGAAAATTATCTATCTCTGTTCAGAAATGCTAGTTATAAGAGCTTAATCATGCAATATTGAATGTTTAAGTGTGTCATCCTTGAACTTGTGGAATGTGAGTGAATGAATAAAACAAAACATGCAAACCTTTTACCATACATCAGAAGGTAAAAGGTTTTCCTTTCCATTGAGCTGGTGATTAAGCTTCCCTTAGTCAAATGGGCTCCGAGATAATAAATCGACACTGCTAGCGCCATTACAGAGAGACCTGAATCATCGAGCAGCAGCGTTGCTGATTTCCACTGTTAAGTGCCGTAGCCTTTCCTTGTGTCTTGTTTTATGCTTTGGCTTTACTCTCTCCTATAAAGACCAGGAGAAAAGCATGAAAGAGAGAAAACAAAACCTGGTTTCTTCTCTCAGCACTGCATGACTGCAAGAAGATGTGATGGGAAATAAATGATTCGGGAGAAGTCATACTTAACTTGTACACCACGAACGACTGGTGTGGGGTTAACTTTGCACCCTGCCCTGAAATTCTTGTTCTTTTTTTTTTTTTAAACTTCTCTTTTTTTCTTTGTACAATGTCCTGTGAGGAAAGGGGAATGAGTTATCTGACAAATTTAGAATGTGCAAACTTACGCATTGATGAAACAGCTATTGAAATACATTTCAAAGTAAGATTTTTCAACACACAACTGTGTCATTTCCTCTCCAGATGCTGAAATACTATGTGATAAAGATTTTAGGTTTCAGTTGTAAAGAGAGGGAAGTGGATAAATCAGTGCTGCCTCCCTTACCAGCAATGACAAAAGAGGTATATTTTAATCTATTTTTTTCCTAAATTTACTTGTATTGAGTGTGTGAGTCTACTCTGTGTACATGTGAGTGTGTGAGGGGAGAGAGAGAGAGAGAGAGAGAGAGAGAGAGAGAGAGAGAGAGAGAGATCTGATTAGTAATTTCTAGTAGAACCCTTATCCTACCACTAATAGTTTGGTTTTGTTGTTTAACAGGTTAAAATGATAGTAAAAATTCCAGCCAAGGTGTTCATTAATGAAAACATAATAAATATGCACGAAATGAACTAGTTTATAGTCAGTTTAGCAAGGAACTATGTGGTTTTTTGTTAAAAATTTGTTGGTTTCATTCAAAGTATGTTTAATAAATTAGTTTGTTCCTTTCTCTTCATATGACATTTTTGGCTTTAACCTGATGGTTGTATTAATCTTCCTTGCTCATAGAGTGAATATTGGCTGAGTCTCTTCTGCAGATAATTTTTGAATTACATATGAGCAAGAGATACAAAGAAAAAATTACGTTTAATTTTATGAGAAATTCTTAATATAAAGCTTATGGGCAAGCAGAACTAGTATAACTTGGGCATCCTACACAGAATAAAATTGCTATAGGTAACTACTGTATGAAGGGAAAGGACTATTACTTTAAAGGGAGAAAGAACTATAAAAATATCTTCATGGAGATGTTACAATTTAGGGTGATATTGATGGATGAATAAGACTTACACAGCATAAAATTGGGCTGGTGTTATCGCTGGCCATGTGGAACTGTGGCAGAATAGTCACAGAGCTGAAATGATGAATGTTTTGTGTCGTAGCTAAGAGCTCACCTTGTATAAGCTCACTGCCTGCTTGCTTTCAGACCCCAGCATCTTCCCTTCCACCTATACAATATTGGGTAAATACCTAAGCCATTTATGTCTTAGTGTCCTAAGATGCAAAATAGAGAAAATCTGACTATATACCTCACAAAGCTGCCTTGAAGCTAAAATAAGTAAAGCTCATATGGTTATACAGAATTGTAAAATAGTGCTGATTCATTTTTTGGTAGCTTTCTGCATATGAGGCAAGTTTAAAATTATCTTAGTCTTCATAGTATTCCTTTACATTGATAGTATATTAATGCTTTACATATACGAAATTATAATTCAAAACTGTTAAAATATTTGCTTTCTTTCTTTAAAATCATATACCTAAAAGAATGGCATATGTATTTTTCTATTTAGCATGCTTGTTAATACTTTATTATTTATTTATATTTTTTTATTTTTTGAGAATTTTATATAATGTAACTTCATCACATTTTTCTCATCACTTTTTGGTCTTAGATTCGAACATTGATACTCTTTCTGTTTCCAAGGGTGATTGTCACTACCGTAAGGCACAATGTGGTTCAGTCTCTAACAGGAATTTTTATACACTCATTTCTTCAGCATGGAAACAATGATTGCACAAATGTACTAATTTTAAAAATGATACAAATTGTCAGCTGCTTATATAAAGAAACAAGGCTTTTATTTTAAAAGAATAAGGAAGATTACACCGGAGCAATTTACCCCAATGTTCAAAATAATTTGACTGTAAGAACACCAGAGCAAATATGTGTAGAGATTTATCTCAGAAGAAATGATACATAGGAAATATGAAAAAACAAGTGGTGGGATGCACGGCCACCGTCCCGTGATCCAGCTGTTTGGAATGCCAAGTCAGTCAGACAACAAGCAGCAGATATGCCTTGGCTACTGAGTGTATTCAAGCCCAGTGTGGGCAATTTAGTGGGATCTGGTCTCAAAATTGAAAGTAGGGGAGTGGGGGGGGGTGTAGAGCCCATCTGTAGCATCTTTGCTGAGCAGGCAATTGTTCACAAGTCTAATGCTAGTACAAAGACAACAACAACAAATAGTTAATAGATGATAGACACAAATCCCTTACTTAGTTACATACAGGTATAAGAAAACACTCTTGTATTGTACGAGCAATGGATATGAACAGACAATATCCAAGGTGTACAATAAATAAAAAATAATGGCATGGAAATATTTCTACAATAATTATAAACATGAAAACAAAGGTGTCTTAAAATAACATAACTTGTGTTACTGGCTAAGCAATTCTATGGTGACAAATTTGGTTTAAAAATCTCCATATTTACATGTTACTCAAATATATGTGTGTTTCATACTATCTTTCTAAGGAATGGTAGATACCATAAATTAACAATAGATTTTACTTAGTCTAGTAGTTCAACAGAAAAGTATCAAAATAATTAGACTAGCCGGTTGGTGATGGCACATGCTTTCAATCCCAGCACTCAGAAGGCAGAGGCAGGCAGATCTTTGTGAGTTCGAGGCCAGTCTGGTCTACAGAGTGAGATCCAGGAAAGGCAGAAAGCTACACAGAGAAACCCTGTCTCAAAAAACCAAAAAACAAAATGTTAAGAACAACTTCAAGTAGATTATTTTAGTGGATTTATATCAGTAGAATCATGAACTCCAGAAATGGGGGAGGTGTTATAAAAAAATGGCTATAGAAATAGATACTCATGTTTGATCAAATATCATATAGTTCATTATTTTTAATTTGAAAAAAATCAAAGAAGGAGAAAAACATGATTTTTAAGGGAAATGTGTTATACAAATCAATATGCACATTGCAATGTCCACTGTATAAATCCGGACATATGCACAAAGACTAAAATGTCCTGTGATGCATGATGGCACTTTATTGTATTGAAATGATGGGTTGAAAGAAGCTGAATTCTACCTCAGCTTTCATGTCCCTCCGTTGTTTTAATGATCAAATGGGAAAAAAAAAATGAAGGCTGTGGTTCGTGCTAACCTCAGAGTTCTTTCATATGGCTTTCCTGTTGCTACGTCCAGGAACTTTTGACCCTGTATAAAAAGCTGATATGGCAGAGATGTGTTTCGCTTCTCATGAGAACACTCTGCTGATAGATTATCCACGCTCCAAGAATTTCCCAATCCTTTATCAGTGCACTGGCCTGTGGTGGGAAAAAGTCACATTATGTGAAGTTGTTTGTCCCTTAACTTGGAAATTACGTCTAAGTTCACAGGAAAATGCTGTAGAACTGTTCACAGATTGCTAATAAGGTCTCACCTGTGCATGTATTCTAACACTTGCAAAGTTGCTGTAGTAATTATCAGATGAAAATTGAAATTATTTGATGAATTTAATAATACATTCCTTTGGGTAAAATGAGATGTACTAGTGATATCTTTCATATCAATTAACTAACTTAATGCATGTCAGAAAGAAACATTTTCCATTGCAAAACAGAAATTTCTTTGTTTTTAATTAAGAACATTTTTATTCATTTTACATAGCAACCACAGATACCTCTCTTCCCTCCTCCAGTCCCCCAGCCTTCCCTCCCAACCCACCCCACATTCCCTCCTCAGAGAAGGTAAGGCCTCCCATGGAGAGTCAGCAGAGCCTGGTACATTGAATTGAGGCAGGTCCAAGCCCCTCGCCCTGCATCAAGGCAGAAATTTCAAATTCTGCATTTGTGAAATATGAACTTTCCTTGAGGTACCAGCAGATCCATGTGGCACAATCATCCTGAAAAAACATTTTGTCTTTTTTGTGTATGTCATTTTTCATTTCCACTTTGTTTTATCTTCATTTTATGGCTCTGGGAACCAAGCTGGGATCCTTGCATCTGACAGGCAAGCACTGAGATCATCAGGGGAGGAAGTAGGGAGAGACATGAGCTAGGCCCTGGCACTCTCGATTCAAGGAATAGGGGAAGACACACAGTACACCTGTTATCTCAAGAGCCTGAGGGAGGAAGGGTGCATTGCAAACTGTTCACCTAGTGACACACTGTCTCAACACAAAATCAAAATCAAACAGAAAATAGCCAAAGGTTTGTCTGTGTTTGGAAGTGCGGGATCCTTCTCCTTTACTCAGCCACTGATCAGACTTGTTTTCAAGTTTCTGTTTCTCTGTTGTTTCTTCCTGATGAAGTATTCTCTATATGCCTGCTTCTCACCCCCCACCAACACCCTTTAAAGAGCTTAAAACTATAGGGAGTAAATTGAGAGAAATCTAATACGTGATGAATCTTTGTTGATGCTGTAGCTCATAAAGATGTTTTTGTCATGAATGTGAGTGTTTATTAAAGGCCTCCCAGCAGTAGATTGCTGAAAGCAGACGTTGCCCACAGTGATAAAATCCCTACATCTGCATTCAGAGCTGGTGTTCATAATGCACATAGAACTGTGGGTGTCGATGAGAACACTGTGTTTGGAAAAACACAAGAATGAGGACTGGGAGTGTCAGAAGCTGCTTCTGTCCCAGCCAAGCTGCTCCCATTTTCATGAGAACAACTGTACCTACTTGTGAGAATCTGTCACCATTGAGCCTGTGGACTGTGGACATACTCTCTCCAAAATGTGAATGAGGGAGCAGGGAGGACCACTGGACATTTACCAGAGTATCTGGCCACTCTTCCAGGCATTCGTATATAGTTACATCCTAATTGCAAGTGGTCTTATAAACCCAGGGAGAGGCTAAGACATACGGGCTGGGAACTAGTATGGAAAGGAGGCTTCATCTATGAAAACATGGGGAAGCCATCATCCATAGACTTTTCAGAGGGGCTGCACTGATGTCAGCCAAGCTTCTGTCCATAACCCACAGCCATGCTCTTTAAGGAAGCCAAGAACATTCACTGTTCCCAGAGTGAACTGTGCTGTGCTGGAATCATACTTTAGTTTATCACTGGGATCTAAAAAGAGGGGATCGATATTGTTCCTCTATCCCCTACAAGAAATTTTAGCAGTTGGGAATATTGCTGCAAGAGAATCAGAGATTCGGTGATTGAAGAGCTATTATCGAAGTTTAGAGGGTGAAAACTAGGTTAGATAAACATCCTATCACACTAACTGCCCTACTCCCATATCATCCTGCCCAAAATCTAGTAATGTGTCCCTGAAAATACCAGTAGGATGTGGTTAAGTGGCCATTTGAGACTCACGAAATCAAAGGGATGCATACAAGGACCAGGGCAGAGGCAGTCTGTGTTCCTAAGCCCTAATGGACAAGCCTGGTTCTGACTCCCAAAGCAAGCAACAGAAAATATACAGAAAAAAAGGAAAATGAACTCACTTACAATTTTACCCAAAGTGGTTCAGTCAGGCTCCATCTTCCTCAATTGTTCCAACTTGTGGAAAAGCTGAGGCAAAATCTGGGAAATATTCAGCTTGATTTTGATGGAAGCTCAGCCTGTCAAAGCCAGAAGAAGACAAGCCTTTCTCAGAGTGCCAAGAGCAATATGAATTTTCAAGTCATGACAAGGTATTTCCTATAAGGAGCTGGATATTAAGAAAATAAATAAAAACACAATGAAATACTAAGTTCTGTGGAGCCTGTTACATTAATACAGGGTCAAGGATGCTACCAAAAGACTCTGGATGTCAAGTAAAACCCCCACAGAATCTGAGTCACAAAAATTGTGAAGAATTTCTGTCTCTAAAAGAACTCACCTCTGCAGTTCCCTGGTTTTCTAAATATCCATTTCACTTGGTAAACAAATACATGTGATTAAATTCTTACAATGTCTAACATAATTATCCACTCAACAATTACAAAGTATATTCAAAATTCTAGTTTGCCTTAAGTTCTAGTGATACAACGTTGGAAAAAAACAGACATGAATCTCCCAGCCCATAGCTTACACTCCAAACATATTTTTTTCAGGTACAAATGTTTTCATCTTTGTTCATAAACATTCCTCCATAGAGAATAGAGCAGATGAATTGTAATGTTCCCTTCGCATTTCAGTGAAAATGAACTCAGGATATCTCAAAAAATCCTTCTTTACTCTTTTGGAGAAGGACCAGGGACATCCAGTAACAACATGGTTTCATTAACAGTGTGCAAACAAGGGCTTTTCCACCCTGTTCTTTACCACCTGAGCTCAGAGTCCAACATTTTTCCACTTGGCCACAATTGCTGTGAATGTGGCTTTAACGTGAATATAGAGCCGTTTCATTATTAACTCTTCGTTTGTTTGTTTACTTGCTCATTTGTTCAGTTTGATGAGTGAAATCATTGTCCACATAGATTAAAAGTCAGGAAACGGAAGGAAAGCCTTGATCAGAAGGTGAAACTGGCTTCCTCCAAAGTCAGTTTCCCAGGTTATTTGTTATTCACTGACTTAATTACTTAAGAGCTTCCATTTGCCTATCTTGTGAGACAGTTCTACAGTATGGCCCAGGCTGGCCTTAATTCTGCACATTCCTCCTCCCCCTTGCCACTGCCTCCCGAGTGCCAGGATTGTAGGCAAATGGTGAGACTGTAGCCATGTGCCACCATGCCTTGAAGTTGGCATTTTTATCTCTTTGTGATGGAGCTCTTGCAAGGCTATATTTTTCAGCTTCAGCCTCTATAACAGATGAGAAAAAAAGTACTTGCAATACAGGTCTGCTTGGTTTATTGGGCTTTTTCTTCCTTTTTCAATTTTGCCTTACACCCCCCCCACACACACACACAAAAGAGCAGATTCAGGTCCTACACCTACATTCTTTTATTCCCTTGTCCTAGTGGCCAAATTCTGTAAAGATCACAATCCTCAGACCAAACAACACAAGACTTGTGGAAAACGATTCTCAGAAATGATCAACATGAAAAGATTGTCACTGTGAGTGACCAGATAAATAATTTCCTTGGCCATATTTTAGAAGTTTATTGATAGGAATTTAGTATTATCCTTGTTGTATCTTCAAAGCAGATATGAGCCTTTAGAAATGAGTGATGGTCCTCCATTCCCAACCCAGGCTAGAGTTTTGTTTCCTGACATTGCCATGATTTCAGTTAAAATTTCAGTACTAAACACATCCCTCAGCATTGAGGGGGGTGGGCATAAAGAAGGATCAGAAGATGCTGGATTCTTGCTAAAATAGTCATCGCACCTGAACTATGACCAACACAACAGTTAATCTGTTTATCTTCTCAGACAATATTCTTAAATTGCAGACCATTCTATCCTACACAGCACCATTTCTTGAATGTTTGTTAGAATCTTAAGTTATTTTGTTAGTTTATTTTGTGCTACTACATTTTACTCATTTTCATGTATAATTTCAAAAGCCTGAGATGTGGTTTAATGGTAAAAAGCCTATAACATAAAAGCTTGACTGAGTTCTTGATTTTAATGACTAACACCATAGTGGAAAGAGAAAAGGGGGAAGAGAGAAAAACCTTGTATTTTAATTAAATACTTATTTAATTAAAAAAAATTTGTATAGATTTACTCATTTAGTAAATGAGTAAATAAGCTAGCTAGTCTTATGTCAACTTGACACACAAACTAGAGTTATCTGAAAGGAGTGCACCTCAACTGAGAAAATGCTTCCATAAGATCCGGCTGTAAAGCATTTTCTGAATTAGTAACTGATGGGGCAGGACCCAGCCCATTGTGGGTGGAGCCATCCCTGGGCTGGTGGTCCTGGGTTCTATAAGAAAGCAGGCTGAGCAAGGCACTGGGAGCAAGCTAGTAAGCAGTACCCTTCCATGTCCTCTGTATCAGCTCCTACCTCCAAGTTCCTGCCTTGTTTGGGTTCCTGGCCTGACTTCCTTTGGTGATGAACAGCGATATGGAAGTGTAAGCCAAATAAACCCTCCCCTTCGACTTGATTACTGGTCATGGTGTTTCATTACAGCAATAAAAACCCTAACTAAGACATTTTGTATAATCAGAAGTAAGAATGGGACCTAGTACATGCTTGGTAAGTATTTTACCACTCAGCTAATCTTGGTCATATTTAAATTTATAAATATAAAAGTATGCATATTAGTGAGTAATATGTAATATATTGATGTATTATTATAAGTAGTGTGTCATATTAAAATAACGTTAAATATTTTCTTTTGATGAAAACTTTCAAGATTCTTTTTGCTGTCTTTTGAATGTGCAGTGCAACGCTGCCATGTGTGGTCACCCGACTGTGCAATACCAGACCAGACTCTGCTGCTCTCAGCTATGACTCAGTGCCTTCTGATCTAGAATTGCGTGTCATTGACCCTCTCCACCCAAGTATCAGGATGTCTTGCATGGTGGCCCATTTAGCTCCATGTTAAGACATTCAAGGGCTTTGATACCTGCCATTAGAGATAAAGGTATTTCTTTGCTCAGTAGAATATTGGTAGAATTTAAAGGACACAAGTACAGATTCATGTTGTGTGATGCAAAAGTATAAAGAAATAGAGAAGAGTTGGGGAGAGAGAGAAGGGGGAAAGAAAAGAGGAAGAGGAGGAGGAAATGAGGGAGAGAGGGCCAGTTGGAAGGAAAAGTTAGCTTTTCCTGTGCACTTAAATCTAATGACTTGACTTTATCTTTCTAAACAGATAAACAGATGCCTTGGCAAGGAAATCTGGCTCACTAAGCTTTGTTTAATACATTCAGTCCAGAAAGTCACAGGAAATATTTGTCTCAAACATGTACAACTATTTGTTCTAAGGGAAATCATTTTTTTTTCTCTGCAGCTAGTTATTTTCTGCCACTTGGATTTTCTTTTAGTTAGGAAAGTCAGGGTACTCCTCCTCACATTCAAAGACCACATGCCTGTAAACATAGATGCCTTTCTACAGAGAACAACACAGCAATGAATCCTCAGGAATCTGACCTCTTACATATATTTTTCATGTGCTTGCAATGTATGGCTGAGTGCATGTTTGTGTGCATGTGACTGTGTGTCTGGAGGAAGTGAAACTGAACATGAGTGTACCTGTGGGTGGAGACCAAAGATCCGCGCTGGATATTGTCTTCTGTTTCTTTGCACCATAGATTTTGAGACAGGATCTTCACTCGGTCTGAGATTCACCAGTGGGTTGTAGTTACTGGCCATCACAGTACTGGAGATCCTGCTGTCTCCACTTCAGAGCACTAGGGCTATTCCTCCTCTAGCTTTTTGGGCGACGATAGGCATTCAAATTAAGATATTCATGCTTGACCAGCAGGCACTTTATAGGCAACTATCCTCCCAGCCTTATAAATACAACTTTTTTATACTTCCATGAAAAGTCATGAAAAAGATTAATACAGTGCTTTATATGACCTTTGTATTTAATTATACATTTTGCTTGCTAAAATTGAATATTAATTATAAATAATTAACTTACAACACCATGAAAAGTGACCTCAGCAATTTCATATGGGATTAATGTATTCTGTGTGTGTGTGATAGACCACAGAGCAGCAGAGGCTCTGCCCTGATGAACCAGAGGATGCTGACAGCTACTCAGAGTCTGTGAAATTCGATGCTCGCTCGATGACAGCATTGCTTCCTCCCAGTGAGTAGAAAGTGACCGAGTAACACAGGTGGTGGGTTGGGTGGCTTACATCAGTAGATTTGTTTATTTTTTTTCCTCACAGTTCTCTATCCTAGAAGTCTTAAATCAAGGTGTCCAAATGGCACAGGTCATTTAAAGGCCGTGTCTCTTTCCAGCTTCTAGTTGTTTCTGGCAATTCTTGGTGGCCCCGGCTTTTAGCCGAGTCACTGGCACCTCTGCTTCCTGCTTCAGAGGGTTTGTTTTCCTGTGTAATTGTGTGTTCTGTTCTCTTCTTAGAAAGATCCAACCACCAGAATAAATATCACACCGCAAGACATCATTTACACTTGACTACATCTTCTGTGACCCTAGTTCCAATTAAAATCACCTCCATCCTTATCTAGAGCTGGGACTTCTGCATATCTTTCGGGGAGATAAAAAAAAAAATCGCACTTGCAACAGATGAATCATATGGTGACAGGAACACAAGGGAAACAATGTTCTGCAGCTTCTGATCAGGCTGGAGGTGACAGACCAGAATAGCTTATTAGTCGACTAACTCTTGACGCCCATATCTGAGAGGATGGGTGGGTGGAAAGAGAAGAGTTAGAGAGAGATTCCATGTAGGGGAAATAGCATGCGAAACACATGAGTTTACACAAACAAATTCAAATCCCGGCTCATAGTTAAAACTCACTGTGTGCTAGTTCACATCTGTAATTCCGCTGCTGGAGAGGCAGAGACAGAGAAATCCCCGTGGCTTGTTGAGCAACCAGTCTAACTAAATTTGCAAATTCCAGGTTCAGCTAGAGACCTTGTCCCTAAAATAAAGTGGAAGGGACAGAATGATTGCTCAGTGGCTAAGAGTCCTTGCTCCTTCAGAGGACTTGGATGTGATTCCTAGTGTTCACATGTCAGCTCATAACCAGCTATGACTCCAGTTCCAGGTGATCTGACCCCTGGCCTTTACATGCACCAGACACACACAGGGTGCACAAACAGGACTCACATTCAGCCAGCCTGAAACACAGACAGTTCCAACTTATTTTTATAATGGGTTCTTCTTTTTAATTTTCATTCTTTACTTTTCTTGACTCTACTTTTTAAAAAATGTTCATTTCCTTCCCTCTCCTTGTCTCACAAAATGTAATTGAACAGAGCTGAACAAAGTGGTCCACATCTATAGTTCTAGAACTTAGGAGGTGGAGGCAGGAAAATCATGAGTCCAAGGCCATTTTTAGCTGCAGAGTGAATACCATGCCAGCCTGGGCTACATGAGATAGCCAGGGCTATATGAAACTATCTCAGGAAAGAAGCTTGGGAGGTGACTTATTCAGTCACGTGCTTGCTGTGCAAGCAGGGGGACTTGAATTTGGATCTTCGGAAGCTGTATTAAAAGCTGAGGGTGGCAGAGGCAGAGCACTCTTCGAAACCCAGCACTGGGGAGACAAATACAGGCAGGTTCCATGAGAGATCCCGTCTCAGAAGTAAAGAGTGAGGATAAATAGAGGAGGGCATCCAAACCCTGACCATGAGCCTCCACAGAAACCCAGATGTACACATGCAGTCACACACACACACACACACACACACACACACACACACACACACACACACTCCCCACATAATAAATAGGTAAATAATCTACCATTTTCCCTTTGTATCAGCATGGTCCCACTGTAGTACACTTTACAGGAGTTCCTGTTCTATGTAAATGCATGTCAAGGAGATAAGTATAGTTGTTAAGTCCTGATATATCAAGAAGATGGGTTTCATTGATGCGTTCCAAAGTTTTGTCAAAATGTAAATCTTTTTTTCTATCCCATTTAGAATAATTGTATGTCACAATCCAATTGAGATACACAAATCGGAAATCATATGCAGCCATGTTCTCTCACTTGTGCAACAAGTACTTCACCTGCTGGAGCTTATACCCAACACCAGTTATCAAGACTTAAATTTAGGTTTTTAATGATAGGCTGGGATTTTGTTATGTTTTCTTTTGCTTTGTTTTAGATCCTAAAAATGGCCCTTCCACTCAGGAGAAGCTGAAGTCCCTCAAAACTGCCCTAGTCGCGCTCTACCTTCTTGTGTTTGCCATTCTCATACCGCTCATTGGGATAGCGGCAGGTACAGTATCCTAGAATTTTCAAACTCTTGATCTGCTTATTGTAAGAGCAGAACTATGGCAGTTTTTGTATGGTAGATTTGTAAAGAAACTTCATATACTAAAGCATTCCTCAATTTCAACAAATGCAATTAAAATAGATTCTGTAATGTAAGTATTAACAGGCTTTTAAAAAAAATTTTACAAATAAAATATAAAAAATAAAAATATTGACATAAAATTGGGCTAGATTTATATCTGTTCTGCTCTCTCTTTCTCCTCCCTCTAACTCCTCCCTTGTCCCCTGATTCCTCCTCCAAACCATTATCTATTATTCTTTGCTATCATTTTATTATTGTTTTATATATGAATTTGTTTGCTGATGATGTTCAAATGTATATGTATTTAGGTCTGACCTTTTGTGGTTGGATAATATATCAGGGTACTCATTCCTACAGATGATTGAGTCTTTACCAAAAGCCATTAATTGTCAATAGCTAGCTCTTCATCCAGGATTAGGGCCTTGTGAGATTTCCTCTATCTATATTGAAATGTCAATTGGTGGTGTAATTTTTCAGGTCTTGTTTAAGTGATCACGTTGTTAACATTTCATGGGTGCAGATCCATGCCATGAGTAGAAGACATAATCTCTCAATAGTCAACATGATCCTCGTTCTCTAGGTCTTCCTATCCTCTCTTCTGAACCTTAGATATACATGGTATATCGATTTGGGATAGGTATACCAGGATCAGTTGTTCTCTGCATTTTGGATAATTGTGGATTTCTGTAATGATTTCAGTCCACTCTGGGTGTGGGGCTTCTCTGTTGAGCAGTGATGAGCCATGAGAGTTATACTTAACTGTGGGCATACATAAGTATTTAGAATATAGTTAGAATTTTTATTGGAGTAGGGAAATGGCAGTAATATGTCATCTGGGCTAAGTTTACAGTACTAGGCATCATGAGCAGGGGGAATATTATCACTCCAAGAGACAAAAATTTCATTTAAACTGTATGTGACTGTGTGTGCATGCATGCATGTCTGTAGTTTTAAGCAGTTATAAAATAGTGCATGAAATACATCTTCATTTATTTAGATTGTTGTTAACTTCTTTCGAAGATTTGTATAAATCTTGTACATGTACTGTTAGATGTGACTGAGATTAGATTCTCTTCTTGCTTTTGCAAATGCTAATGAATTTGAATTTTACACTGCCTTGGCTCATTGCTGTTACATGTAAATGTAATTGAATCTTTATATTAAACTTTCAGTAATCTTATTTTTAAAGAAAGTAGACTGGTAAGGTTTAGAGTATTTCAAAAGTGTATTAAACTTCATAGTTCTGAATACTTCTAGTGTTGAACAACAGCACTCCTGAAATTCCAGTTATTATATAATAAAAATGCTCCCTAAAAGAGAATGAAGTTAACCATGTTCTTTAGTGTGTCTCTAGTGTCTTCTAAAATATGTTAAGAAAATCTAATATTCTGAAGTATTTGTCAGTGTGAAAACAAATATGGTCATTTACACTAACAATGTCTATCTCAGAAAAACATGTCTGTTTTTTCAGAAACTTTTATAAATCAAATGCACAAACCAGATAGTAATACCACATTTTTAAAATATGACTTTCTAATTACTATATTTGATGTGCTTTTATTTAAACATATCTTAATAATAACACAGCAACATATATTGGGATTTTAAATAAACTTAGGTTTCATGTGATATTCTCCAGGCACGTATTTCTACTTGAACTGGGATAACATTTTCAAATGATGTTTTCCCTAGGTACATGGTATCCTTTATCCCAGGGTAGCACTTCTAACTTGCTATGTACCTAAGAATGACTTTGAACATGGATCTTCCTGCCTCTACCTCTAAGTACTGAGATTAGGGGCATCAACACGTTTTGTTTTGTGATGCAGGAATCTAATTCAGGGCAACCTACATGCTAGGGAAGCAGTCTATTGACTGAACTACCTCCTCAGATTAGATGTGTTGGATTTTAACTGATATTCAAATTAATTGTTCTAGTCATTACCCTTTTCTCTATGATTTTTCCCAATGTGTTTGCTATATACATTATCAAGAGAAAGTTTTAGGAAAAGCTCATTTGAATGTGCATACTAATCTACCTAAGAAAATGGCCTTAAATGCTAAATCAAATGTCCTTTGTTAAGTGGTAATCTGAGAGAGTATCTCAAAACAGATTCGAAATTGTACTCAGAAAGAAAAGCTAAGGAAATCAACAACAATTGTAAAAGGAGCTATCATTTTATCATTTTACATCATTTACTCTGCCCAAGCACTGGGCTCTAAACTTTCAGCATATTATCTTAATACATCTTTACAATTACTCTTTCAGCCGACACTATAATTATCTTCATTATCCACACCAGAAAACTGAGACTCCTCAGTAATGGAGCATGTGTTCCCATCTATGACTTTTGTGTCCTAACCTCTCTTTTCCACTGGCTCCCATTGTAATGTGGTTATTATAATAAAGCATGATTGTCCAGAAAAAAAAACCCATGAAAATAGAATTGTCATAATGTTATCCAAAAGATTATCTCTATAAAAAACCCGCAAACAAACAAGCCAAACACAAAAACAGCTCCTGTTTTAGCCATTAAAAACAGAGAAAACAAAATCCAAACATAATCAAAGTAAACAGCAAACAAATGGCAGCTATTCAATAAAGAGAACTAAAGTTTCTAGTAATATAGATTCCTCATGAACAAAATTATCTATATGTTGTCCATGTATACATGCTTATCTACAATGTGAAATACAGACTTGAATGGTGTGTCCTTGCTTGGTGTCACCAAATATACACCAGGGAGAATTTGAATAAATTCCATCTCTTTATGTAAACAACAGTCTACAGAGCCTACAGGGCTCTGATAGACACTGATCAAGGGAGACAGAAGCCTGAAAACTATCCATGGTTGTAATCAAGTTCAAAATTCTTGGGCCATTAGGAAATATTACAAAGTAAAACATTAAAAAAAAAAAAAAACATAAAAGCCGGGCGTTGGTGGCGCACGCCTTTAATCCCAGCACTCGGGAGGCAGAGCCAGGCGGATCTCTGTGAGTTCGAGGCCAGCCTGGGCTACCA